ACATCTTAATGAAATTGTTTATTTTATTTAAAACAAGATTTTGTTTAGCATTAAAGAAATGGAGTAAAGACAAGAGTCATTCACTTGGCTTCTCCTTCTCCTTCTCCTTCTCCATGACTTTTGTATTAGATCATGAGTAGCTTTTGTTATCTTCTCTTTCTTTATATGTTACATTGTAACAACGTTGATTGGTTTAATCAGGTCAATTTAAATGGTGTAAGTTTTGAGTTTTAAAATTTTTTAGTCATAATGTGGAGTTAATTTTGTGTGGTTTTTAGTAGCAGAAGCACGTGAGTGTTCATGGTGCCATTCACCCAATCCAATATCTAGTCATTTTAGTTTTAGATACATAAACAATAAACCTATATGAAATATAATAAAAATGTTTAAAAAATAATAATATAAAGTCTATTTTGTTATTATTGCAAAGAAATATTCATTCTGTCTCACTAAATGTCTTTGGTTTTTAAAATTAACTCATTCAAAATATCATATTAGAAAAGCTAACAAACAACGACAGTTATATTTTATTTTTTACCCTTGTATGCGCCACTTTTTTGTATCTATCAAAATAAATCTATCAAAACTATCAATCATTTCTTAGGGATAATTTTATCATTTTCCTTAATCAAATTTATCTCGTAAAATTATGTGCATAGTAAATATGATACACAAATTATAGGTATGCCTTAAAACATAAGCTATTAGAATTTAGATGAAATGTTAATTTCTTAACACATAAATATATCTAGATTGGTCACCAACAATTTTAAGTGCACAAATCGAAAGATAGGTATACCTTAAAAATCTTTATTTCCAATCCAACTTTTTAGTAAATAAGATTTACTTTTTCTCTTTCCAATTAAATTGTTAATAGTTTGGACAATCTTATCTCGTACAAATTGGTGGTTAGATTCAAGGTTTAGTTCAATTATTTCATATTTTCATTTTTAAGAGATGTTGTTTAACAAATCTCAATATTTATAATCTCAATTTTTAAGAAAACAATAAAGAAATACTTAAAATTGTATTTCTTTTTAAACGTTAATTTTTTTTAAATTATGGATTAAAGACATTTCAAAAGATCAAAATGTCGGAATAGTTCACTCTTTTGGAATAATACTTTTTGAGAAAATATTGTGGGTATAGCAAAGCTCACACACTATAGGAATAAAAATCACATCACGTGTTTGATATTTCAATAGACGATTAGATTCAAGATATCACACGTAAAACAACAAAACAAAGGAAAATGGAAGATCTAAATATGCCTAAAAAACATCTAAAGTCTAAAACTAATAAAGGTAAGTCTTGAGTTTGTATTAAAAAAAAAACTTGAAAACAATGCAAGAGATGGTCCAGATAATCTAAAGCTACCACTTCATTCAATATAAGTTGGTTCTTGTTGGGTGGTCCCAAAGAAGGTGAATAAGTTGAGAGGCACTTTGGAATTATGGGTGAAGGGAATGAGATTCAACCTTGAAAAAGTGGGAACAAATGCTTAAGTTTGATGCAAAGCCTAGCAGATCCACATGCAATAAGATAAAGTTTTCATGTCAAATAGAAATTCATTACCTTCCTCAAGACTATCCTTTAATTGTCGAATAGAAATTTATTACCTTTACTCTTTTCGAGTGTAAGAGAGACATGCCAAAACTCCACTTTCATTTTGATTTTGTGGAATTTCATGTCGTTTAACTGGGAGGTGGGAATTGGTGGGGCTACATCACGAGGTTACCCTTTGCCGATGGTTTAAGCTGGCTATCCAAACACATGGGGATATACTTTATAACATTAGATACGACACAATTATGTAATACAAATATGGTAAAATAGTGTGAAATGAGAAAATAACAAGAACATATTACATAAAAAACAAAATATGCACAACACAAATTTATCAGTATCCCTACATCCATGATTATAATACAATAACATATAGGAACAAAACACGAAAGTGGTGATCCATTCCTCTTGCAACAACGAAAGGAAGATATCAATTTACGAGGGACATGGTGAGCAAACAATTCCACTACTTATCATTTCTTTGTTTTTTACCAAAAAATTATATACATATATATATATATATATATATATACACACGCGCATGGTAAATAGAAAACTGAGCTCGAGTACCAGAACTTTTACCGACTAATAAATAGAAACAGTGATTACAGCATCCATATCAGCTTGTATATTTGTATGCAATATCTATATGGGACAGAGAGAGGTCCCCTAAAAGGAAAAGCCTGATGGATCCCTTTCCCAATTAGCTGTACCCGTGGTCCAAAAAGTCAAATAGGCACCTACAAAACTGGACCACTATGGATAGGTACCCATGCACCAAAACAAAAACCTACTTACAGACTGGAATGAAAAACAAGGATTTACCTAAAAGAAATTTCATCTGCTTGCCCGGTTTAGTGAGGAATAAACAGACTCGGAATTTCACACATTACATGAGAGTGACACCACCAAATAAAATGGGACGGTTGGGAGCTTAGATTTTGTTTGTTGAGTAGGTTATGGATCTTTCGACAGAAGATGGTCCCAGGAAATTCCCGTATAAATACAGTTTGGTTCACAATAAACTTGTCCTAATGTTTACTCTATTTCTGGATCAAAACAAATGCCTATCCTGTCTTGTCCACATCATTGTCTCAAGAGGTGCAAATGCACCTTATCTCTATTCATTCAATGCTCAGAATCATTATAATGAGAAAGCTATGGCATTCAGTCAGTTTTTATATCGAATGCCTACCTTGCCGATGATAAGGCTCAGAAATTGTGCCCGTCTTAGCACATGCATTGGCAGCTGTGAGCTGACCCATTTGACAAGTTTCATTAGAAAGAAAGAAGGGGTCATATAATAACAAGCTTATGGGTCAATTGTGTAACCGAAAAAAATATTTTCCCCGAGAATTGCCGTAATGAGGGTCTTGGAATCTAAAATTGAACCAATAATTCCCTTCTCATATAACAATAGCATGCTTCCAACTCCGAGGAAACTTGGAATATAACAGTAAATACTGTCCAGTGCAAAACACTTTTTCAGCTTCTACACCAAGTGATTACCTTAGTTCTCATAGCTGATTAGACAGTCATAGAGTAAATATTCCATTCTTTGGAGGTTAGAATCCACATGAATTACATCGGATCAACCAATATCAATAGTATCCACAAGCAGGTAAAAGAACAACAACAATTAGGAGCAAAATCTTAAGTTTACTGTCTAATGTATTGAGTTAATCACTCATTAGACCTAAGTGGTAAAGCTCTAGTTTTAGCATTATGGCAGGCTTTTCAAGGTCCATTAATCACTTTGATACATTTAGAGAGGAAGAATATGAGCTTTCCAGTCCAAAGTCTCCGCTAAATTCAGCAGACAATAAAAAATTAGTTCCTTTATTAAATAATATATAAAAAAAAATTAAAAAAGAAGAAATGTATGCACAAGTTAGAAGTCAATCAACTCAACTAAGCATGTTCATAGCTACAAACATACAGAGATCCACCATTGTAGGTTCCTTATTCACCTTTAGGTAACGTAACTCACTCTGCAGGATGCTTACTAACTTCATGTTACAAAGTATGAATACTCTTTTTGGGATAATTAAATGCATACTCTGTGTAAAATGAAGTGCAATGTCACACTCAAGGACCCACTAACCATGTCAAAGAAACATATAGAGTCGGAAATTGAAAAAAGCTTCAGAAATGAACATTAGATGCCCTCTAGAGATGATTTGGACCATATTATGTTCTCTTTAAAGTTGCAAGAAAACAAAATTTCAATGGATTTTTATCAATAACAATCCCAATAAAAATTTGGGCCTATAGTATACATCTATTGCTGAAACTTTAAGCTTCTGTTACAGAACCAGGTGCTATGAATAAAAGACAAAAGGCAAAAGAATAGAACAATTATGTTTACTAACAAGATCGTTTCAGAGTTGTCAAGAAAAATTGGCAGATAAAGAACTTAAAAAAATATTTGTGCCAAACGTTTATAGAAGTTTTGATATGATGTTATTTTACCTATATAAAGGGATATGCACCTTGATTGCAGATTTGATACTATAGGGCTTGATGCACAAGTGATCCACTCTAGTATACTGCCCATAGAACTAACAAGTAGACTGTTCTAGACATCAGAAATTCTAGCATATCAAAAGACACAAGTTCTTGACTTATTTTACAGCTATTCACTCGTACCCATTCCCACCATGCACTCATCATCGCACAAATGCACGTTACACAAATACATGTCCAAACACACCAGTATCTAAGTAACCCAATTGATGTTCTGCTACCAAGAATACAATCACAAAGCATGTAGAAGTCCTAACATCCAAACTCAAACTTCAGACCAGCCCAAGAATGAAATGAGGAATCTATATTCTCCTCTATTGATCAAAGTAAAAACACATCTGTTAAGGTGGTTACACTTGTGCAATTAGCAAACAACATTCTCAAACCTTCTTGCAGGGCTATATTTTAATCAATTTGACGGCATAAATACACCATCATTTAGTATGTACAAGTTTCAGCTTCCTGATATAGATCTTTAAATACTATATTCTGACACATGAAAAATTGTCAGTGTGACTGTTGAAGAGATTGGAAACAATGTTTTAACAACAAGGCTAAGGGCCTTTGGTAATCTACAAATATGAGACACACGCCAACACACGCAGGAACAGAGACAAGCACATCAACGGAGAAAAAGACAAGCATACAACTCAACAGAAATAATTAGTATGAGCAACCACTCTGCATATTAGTTGATTACAATGGAGGAAAGAAAACTCTTGCAATTGCCAAGCAGTAAAAGTAAAACCTTCTAAAATGTTGAGGCAAAAACCAGGGTCAACTAGGAGGAATAAGGTAACATGTATGCACATAAAAAGATGAGTATGCAAGAGTATGCAAGTGTTTAGGCAAAACATATACACAAGTATTATGAATGCTTAAACCTAGTTTAAGGGATGCAAGACAAGTAGCAGTTATCTAGATATTTTTTATTACCCTTCTTGATTGAAGCTTACAGAGCTTGATTCAGATTTTTTTCATGGAAGTTAGTGGACCCCTTACAAAGAAACTATCAGGGTCACTTTCTGTGGTGCTAGAATTGAAGGTAACATCCTTTGAACTACCCATTAAATGGAGTCCAGAAAAATGGTCACCCAAATATTATATGCATATTCATCTCCCAGTCTACGCTTTCTTTCTGCATTTATGGTTTTCTGGGCATAGAGTTTAGGCGCAGGAGCTCGAGCGCAAGGAGCAATAACAGGGTTTGAAGACAAAGGAGAAGAAGAGCTCAGCATACTGGGGTAGCCCTGCCCGGACAAGGAAAAATAGTAGAGGGCAAGAAAACAGAATTTGAAACAATTTTCCTTGGCAAGGTACACTGCTCTTGTATCGAAGAATACCAGTTATCGCTACCATGTTCCCCAGAAACCTTAGCTCCTAACAAGTTTTCTTCAGAAATAGGCCCAAAAACTTGACCTTTCTCGCAGTATTGGTCAGCCAATTGGCTAAAAGGATTTCTAGCCTCAACAGATTGGTCAACATTAGGAAAGAGTGACCATTTGCGATTAGGTAATACAGATGTTACAGGGGACAGGGGGGATGAAGGCGTAGAATTTCCACTTTGACTACCTGAAACTTCAATCAATTCTCTAAATCCACCTTTTCTTTTCCTTCTCCTTCTTACCTTTTCTTTGCCAATCCTGATTGAGAGGTAGCCCGCTTGAGAGGCTTCCTTTATATCAGGATTTTCAGTCACCGCATATTTTGAGGGCAGAGATTGCAAAGAAGTTTCCCTCTCAGGATCTAAGAAACTGTTAAGTTCCCAGTCATATTCTGGCGTTAGTTTAGCATTTGGACCAGTTAACTCCTGTCCCTTGGTCTGTTTGGGTATCTACCATTGGATGCCTCCTTCAAGGATTTAGCATCCCCAACTGAACTTAACAAACCATCCATTTCAGCTGACACAGGAAACTTGCTATTTCTCTGAATACGGTTGGCACGAGAAGATTTTCCTCCAGTCCTGATTGTAGTGATGGAGTTCTTCCCCTCACTCTTGAAAAGGTAATATTGGGAGCCCAAGACCATTTCTTGGTGAACAAGAAAACAGAATATGAGAAACAATAAAGAAGCAGAAACAAGAATTGCCATAGAGAGTTTCTTTAGCCGCCCCCAGAACACTGATCTCTTACAAAGATTAAGCATATAAACAGGGAGAGTTGCCTTCATGGGTATGACAAAAATGCCTGTAGCTAAAGCCAATTCAAGATCTCTATGTACCATGGCTGCTGAAAAATCTGGCTGGTATGACATTACAAGCTTCGTTGACTGTCCAGGTTCAAGGCAAACTTTTACAACTATGCACCATAAAACCATCAACTACACACTCTGTCCCAGAAACCTCAATGCTTCTAACCTCAAGTGGTAGGTCGCCAGTGTTCTTCGCATACAGCTCTTTTGAAAATGGTAGAGTGCATGCATAAGTAGTCTCATCCATGTTAAAAAACATTTTTAGAGGAGAGATGTTCAGAGAAGTAGGCAAGCTAAGGTTAAACTCTACACTCTGAATGGGATCTGAGCCCTCAAAGAGGACAAGAGAAACTGACCCTCCGAATTCCCCCAAAGGTAACCACTCAACACCTGAAAGGTTGTTCCTTATCAGTGCTGAACTTCTCCACCCACAACGATTTGATAGGTGAAATAATATTGGGCGAAAAGAGGCTCTACCATATGGCTGAACGTAGGCCTCTGTCAGTGCATTCTCTGCCATGGAGAACCCAAATCTTATTGGCGCAATAGATGAATTCTGAACTAAACTACCAGAACGGAGCTTGATAAAATCATCTTGGCTCCTGTTGGAAAATAATTAAGGTGGGTGGGCAACTTTCGGTAGCTTTAAATGCACCAAAAGTTGGTTGTTGAAAATGATTTTTGGTTTAATTATATTTTAATCACTACATATTTTAGTGTATTTACAAGATTAATCTCTAAGTTTTAACTATAAATACCCTAGCTCATTTAGCTTTAAAATCATCACAAAACATTTATTTCTTCCTATACTAGAGAGCTTTCTTGTGAGTAGTGAGTATTTTGTAAACACCTGTAAATTTTCTCTCTTAGTAAAAGATTTGTAGCAGCCCGGAAACATAAGCATAATTGGGTGAACTCCGTTATCAATTTTCGGGTATTATTTTTCCGCTTTTATTTCGCATTCTCACTAATCTGGTTATAGGGAAACTTGTACTCGGTTTATTTCCTAACAACTGGCATCAGAGATTTTGGTCGTGAATTCTGTCAATTTTTTGCGAAGTTACTATTCGGGTTACTATTCACATGAATAGTGAATAATAAATTTTGTGAATAGTGAAATTCGGTCGGTGATACGAGTTTGTCGACGGAGGTGTTCTAATACACGGTGGTTCGCAGAAATTGTCAAAAACGATCCAAACGAAGCCAGATTCGAGTGGGAGCGATGACTGCAGACGAAGGGAAGGTGAAAATTGAAAAGTTCGATGGTGCGGAGTTTGGATTTTGGAAAATGCAAATTGAAGATTTTCTGTACCAGAAAAATCTATATCAACCCCTATCAGGAAAACAACCAGAGGGCATGAAGAATGAAGACTGGGCTCTTTTCGACAGACAAGCCCTCGGAGTTATCCGACTGACGTTATCCCGCAATGTTGCTTTCAACTTAGCAAAGGAAAAAATCACGGCGGGTCTTATGGCTGCTCTCTCCAGTATGTATGAGAAGCCATCGGCCTCAAACAAAGTTCATTTGATGAGGCGATTATTCAATTTGCGGATGGCGGAAGGGGCATCGGTGACACAACACCTAAATGAACTCAACACAATCACAACCCAGTTGAGTTCAGTGGAAATTGAGTTCGATGATGAAGTTCGAGCTTTAATTCTCTTATCATCTCTACCAGATAGTTGGAATGCTACTGTTACAACAGTCAGCAGCTCGTCGGAAAATAGCAAATTGAAATTCGACGATGTTCGGGATCTGGTATTGAGTGAAGAAATTCGACAGAAAGAATCGGGTGAAGCATCAACCTCCTCAGCCTTGCACACGGAGTCTAGAGGAAGAACTTCAGAAAGATATTCAAATCGTGGCAGATCAAAATCCAGACGGGGAAAATCCAGAACGGGAAAGAAAGATTTTACATGTTATAATTGTGGCAAGAAGGGTCACTTTAAAAGAGATTGTCGAGCACTGAAGAAAGATACCGGTGCACAGGAATCTGCTAACATGACAGAGGAGACAGGTGATGCCATGATTCTAAGCGTCAACTGTCTGATTGAATCATGAATCTTGGATTCAGGGGCATCTTTCCACTCCACCCCATGCCAAGAAATCATGGAGAACTATGTCAGTGGTGATTTTGGGAAGGTTCATCTTGCTGATGATGAAACCTTGAAAATCGTCGGAAAAGGAGACATCCGACTAAAGCTGCCAAACCAGACCACCTGAAAGCTGACAGGAGTGAGACATATTCCTGGCCTCAAAAGAAATCTGATTTCTGTTGGACAGCTTGATGGAGAAGGATATAGTACAACCTTTTCAGGCTATGAATGGAAGATTACCAAAGGAGCACTCGTCATTGCTCGTGGTAAGAAGACTGATACTCTCTATGTAACCTCGAATTTAGAGAATATCATTGCAGTAGCAGATGCTGATGGAAAATCAAACCTATGACACCAAAGGCTTGCCCATATGAGCTAGAAAGGAATGAAGATACTTCTGTCAAAAGGGAAACTGCTGGATCTAAAGAATGTAGATGTCGGACTATGCGAGGATTGCATCTTTGGCAAACAAAAGAAAATCAGCTTTACAAAGATTGGCAAGACTCCCAAGGCAGAAAGGTTAGAATTGGTTCATACTGATGTATGGGGACCATCCCCAGTTCCATCTCTTGCAGGCTCACTATATTATGTCACCTTCATCGATGATTCAACAATGAAGGTATGGGTTTATTTTCTGAAGAAGAAATCAGAAGTCTTTGATACCTTCAGAAAATGGAAGGCCATGGTGGAAAATGAGACTGGTTTGAAAGTCAAACGATTAAGGTCTGATAATGGAGGAGAATACAGAGACGATAGATTCAGAGATTTCTGCGTAAACAATGGGATCAAGATGGAGACAACAGTTCCCATAACACCGCAACAGAATGGCGTAGCAGAGCGCATGAACAGAACTCTGAATGAACGTGCCAGAAGCATGAGAATACATGCCGGATTGCCCAAATTGATATGGGCTGAAGCTATCAACACTGCAGCTTACCTAATCAACCGTGGGCCCTCAGTTCCCTTGGATGGCGGAATGCCAGAGGAAGCTTGGAGCAAGAAATAAATAAACCTTTCACACTTAAGAGTGTTTGGTTGTATTTCTTATGTACACATAAACTCTGCTGAAAGAAGTAAACTTAATGCCAAGTCCAAAAAATGCGTCTTTGTTGGTTACGGTGGTGATGAGTTCGGTTACTGGTTCTGGGACTACAAAAATCGAAAGATCATCAGAAGCAGAGATGTCATTTTCAATGAAAATGTGATGTACAAAGACAAGTCAACCGCAGAATCAAGTAATATCGAGGCTGAAACAAAGGAATTTGCTGAGTTCGAGGAGATTTCTGGAAATGATATTCAGATCAATCCTGAAGCAGTTCAAGAAGAACCACGCACACCAGAACTGAGACGCTCCTCCAGAATTCCTAAACCAACCCAACGTTATTCGCCTTCTCTGCACTACTTGTTACTGACTGACAATGGTGAACCAGAGTGCTATGATGAAGCAATGCAGGTGGAGGATTCAGTCAAGTGGGAGTCTTCCATGAAAGATGAGATGGACTCGCTTATGTCAAATCAAACGTGGGAATTAGCTGAATTACCACCAGGCAAGAAAGCGCTCCATAACAAGTGGATTTACAGGATCAAAGAAGAGCACGATGGCAGAAAACGCTACAAAGCAAGATTAGTTGTCAAAGGCTTTCAGCAAAAAGAAGGTATTTACTACAATGAAATTTTCTCTCCAGTCGTAAAACTGTCTACAATCAGACTGGTGTTGAAAATTGTAGCTGCAGAGAATTTACATCTTGAGCAGTTATATGTAAAGACAACTTTCCTTCATGGTGATTTGGAGGAAGAAATCTATATGAGGCAGCCAGAAGGCTTCATAGAGGCAGGCAAGAAAAACCTGGTATGCAAGTTGAAGAAGAGCTTGTATGGTTTAAAACAAGCTCCTAGACAGTGATACAAGAAGTTTGATAGTTTCATTAGTAGCAGTGATTTTACCAGATGCCAAGCAGATCATTGTTGCTACATCAAGAGGTTTGACAACAGCTTCATTATTTTATTATTGTATGTTGATGACATGCTCGTTGCAGGCTCAGATATGCAAGAGATTATAAACTTGAAGCAGAAATTGTCGAAGCAGTTTGCTATGAAGGATCTGGGCGCTACAAAGCAGATTCTTGGGATGAGGATCAAAAGAGACATAAAGTCGGGGACTTTGATGTTATCACAGGCTGAGTACATCAACAAAGTACTCTCCAGGTTTAACATACAAGATGCTAAACCAGTAAGTACACCTTTAGGTGTTCATTTCAGACTCTCCAAAGATCAATCACCAAAGACGGAGGAAGAACGTGCACACACATGGTGAAGGTGTCGTATGCCTCAGCAATTGGAAGTCTGATGTATGCCATGGTTTGTACCAGACCAGATATTGCTCATGTAGTGGGAGCTGTTAGCAGGTACATGAATAATCCGGGCAAAGTACACTGGAAACAGTCAAATGGATCCTCAGATATCTGCGGGGTACCACAAACAAAGCACTTTGTTTCAAAGGTGGAGATACGATACTGACAGGCTATGTAGATGCTGACTTAGCCGGAAATGTTGACATCAGAAGGAGCACTACAGGGTATGTCTATACTCTAGGAGGTACTACAGTAAGTTGGGTTTCTCAACTACAGAAGATAGTTGCTCTCTCCACAACTAAAGCATAATATGTCGCTGTTACGGAAGCCAGCAAGGAGATGGTTTGGCTCCAAATTTTCTTGGAAGAGTTAGGCAAGAAACAAGAAAACAATGTCTTGTATTGCGATAGTCAAAGTGCTATCCATCTAGCGAAGAATCTGTTTTTTCATTCCAGAACGAAGCACATACAATTGAGATATCATTTTATCCGGTCTCTTCTGGAAGATGGAATTTTGAAACTTGAAAAGATTAGTGGAGCTCAAAATCCGGCAGACATGTTGACGAAGACAGTGACCACGGACAAACTGAAGTTTGTGTTCAGCTTCAGTTGGCATCCTAGAGTAACAAGACCAGAAATGCTGCTGCAGTGATCGAGGTGTGAAGACAGATTAAAATCAGTCTTCAAGTGGGAGATTGTTGGAAAATAATTAAGGTGGGTGAGCAACTTTTGGTTGCTTTAAATGCACCGAAAGTTGGTTGTTGAAAATGATTTTTGGCTTAATTACATTTTAGCCACTACACACTTTAGGTTATTTACAAGATTAGTCTCTAAGTTTTAACTATAAATACCCTAGCTCATTTAGCTTCAAAATCATCCCAAAACATTTCTTTCTTCCTATACTAGAGAGCTTTCTTGTGAGTAGTGAGTGTTTTGTAAACACCTGTAAATTTTCTTTCTTAGTAAAAGATCTGCAGTAGCCTAGAGACATAAGCACAATTGGGTGAACTCCGTTATCAATTTTCGGGTATTATTTTTCCGCTTTTATTTCGCATTCTCACTAATCTGGTTATAGGGAAATTACTTGTACTCGGTTTATTTCCTAACAGCTCCTACATTCATCAACAATTTCTCCTGAGTTTAGAATGAGCTGCATTATAACTGGCTGCTTGCTAGGATTTGTCACTGTGATCCACTTGGAGAAGTGACTTCCAACTTGAATCATTGGAAATAGTAACTCATTATCATCAAGCACTGTCATGTCACCTGAGGTACCTTGAGTTTTCCAGTTTTGAAGTACCAATTCATCAGCTTCTGCTGCCTGCAAGACCAACATACGACATTCTTAGCTACCTTGAATCTTGTAGCAGAAGTTATGATTCTTTTTAGAATTAAATCTTAATGATGATATCATAAAATTCATCAAGAGCATGTGCATGTAAAAATGCATGAAAAGAGGAAGGGGTTAAAACAAAATTAGTTTGACAGGGAGAGATGTGTGGATGCATGATGATAAACATATAGAAAATAATAAACAGTTTTGATGATCCAAGAACCAATTCTCATTTGATAGGTTGTTGGTAAGCATACTATGATCTCATATATCTTCCTAACCTAGGAGCTATCCTCCAGGAACTTTACAGGATAAAGATTTATAACATACGCATGATGAGTAAGAATTTAAGTGAAAAAAAGAGTGGAGTATCAATCACCAGAATAATAAATATCTAAGAAGAAACAACTTCAACAGAAAAAATTATGCCATTGTAACTAAAACAAGCAAACCTTGGTCCATGATGCCAATTGCATGCTGTCACCGAAGGACCCTATCCATGCATTGTCAAATTTAGCCCTTTCAGAATGATGCTTATAAGCCATGGATGAATCTTTCTGATGTTCCACACAAATTGGGAGTATATCCTCACAAAAAAAATCAATCTAAGGGCTTATAGATTCATTTGAAATTATAAGCAATTTACAACTACTGATAAGGCTGAGTCATGATTTTCATCAGGCAGTTTAGTGCAAGTAAAAACAGCAACCCGAGTAACAGCACCTGGGAAGAGTAGCAAACCTTCCATGTGCTTGATATGGAAAACCTTTGTATTTGCAACTTCACTAATCTTGACAACACTCAGCGCATAAGGAGCAGAATTTTTCAAAGAGATGGCAACAAAAACAACTCCATTACGATCGTATGGCACCATCATAGCATCAAGAGAAACTGAAAGAGAACTTGCAGGATCGTCATAGGATGATTTCCTGTGCAAGAATGATAACTATATCAGCCATGTTTTGTGAAGACCTCAACCGCAGCATACAGAAATCGCCTAAAATTCTTCCTTTTGATTCTATGATAGTTTAACTGCTTTGGGGCTTAATCACCCAGTTCCTGTTCAGCCTCAAAAGCAATAAGTGGAAAACCAGAATTACCACTGTTTATGACCAAACAATCGTCGGCACTGAGTATGTTGCGTCCATTATAGCCTTGGAAGTTTTCTATTATACAAACTGCTCCAGTATGTTGGTGTTCCCTAGAGAAACTGATATCCACGAAGTTATTTCCTCCACATAGAGAGTCTCATCAAATGGATTGAACAAGGACAAATTCTTACTCTTGACTAGAAGAAATATGCAGGCCTAATAATGGCTGAATCTCATATGGGGACTCAACAGCAAAACTCCTAGCCTGAACCAGGAAACCACCAGAGCTTGTTTGCAAGATAAGGTGAGCTGATGTGAAGCCCGCCCATCTAGGTAAAAATTCAAAACATATTGAAGCTACTTCACCAGGTCCTAGCAAAACCTCACTAAAATTGCAGGGATAGAACTGTAGATTAGTACTGAATGGTTCATGGATGTGTAAAATGCTATCATTGCATGTATTAGCTACAGTCAAGTAACCCACTGAAGGTAAAAATAAGTATTTGTGTCCTAAATCCATTACAGGGTGACATATATGTTTGGTGAAGACAAACCGTGAAAAGAACTTAGCTTGGTAGCCTCTTTGTTTCATTCCATTCTAACAGCTCTACTCTTCTGACTTAGTAAAGGTCCTCTACTCGATGAAATATAATCTTGATTAGCATCATCTGTGAGAATGGATGAAAACTCACGGATACCACCTCTTGAGTATATAGAACAAGAAACCATCCTTCCCTTTAATAATTTAAACATACTGTGACTACATAACCGACTTTTGTTAGTTTCCAGCCCTCTAAGATTACTTTGTTTTATATGAGAGAAGAAGCAATATCAGACTAACTCCTAGAAACTTCTAAACTGCCTACTTCATCTGTTATCTGTTTAGTTGAAATGCCAGGCAATGTTGAAGGAAAACAGAACGAATTAGGATCAGTGCAGATACTCTCAACACTAATATTGGTCATCAATTTCCTGCATCATGCCGAATTATATGACAACCAAGAAAAGATGGAATACTTAGCCGGTTGAAACATTCCCCTGAAAAAAAAATCAATTACAAAATAGTGGAAAAACATAATTACAGCCTCAATTTTCTGAACATTTTATCAAAAAAAATAGTGGGAAAACAAAACTATTGCCTCAAATAAAAGGCCATTTTTTACACAATAAAAATATTAGTTAAATAACGAAAGAGTGAAAAACGTGGATTTCAACTTGGGGTTGGGGGATCTAATAAACAAATAAACAGAGCAGGATGCCGGCGCGATAATACTTAGAAATTATAGGTGCTGTGATTAATATTCTTACTATACGTAGTAATTTAAAAATAGTAAACATAATATAACAGTTCCAGCAGCAAATTTTATTCTGTATACAACAATTTTGGATATTCTTTTTTAAAAGGCAAGAAATGTAAGCTTTGGCCATTAAAAAATCCTTTGATACTGTTTAAACAACCTAAACAAAGTCATGATCACCGTACGGCCACGTTTGAGGTAACACGATAAAAAAATTCATCCGCTTCCAGTAAAGAAGTAGCTTATTAGCCAAATAAGAATCGAAAATTCAAGAGTCTTAAGCGGAAAATAATGTAGTAATCGAAGTTAAACTAATAAAAACAGATAAGGAAGATAGAATCGGATGTGTTTGTAAAGATAGAAAGTGCGAGAAAATGGGAAGGAAAGTGTGAGAAAGTGATAAAAGAGTTACCGGAGAGAGTAGGACATGGAGAGTTGTTTTCGAGCTTTGATGATCCTCAGGGTTTTGGGCTCCATTTCTCAGGGAAGAGGAAAAAAAACATCTGAAATTATTTATTTTATGGTGAATTTAATATTTTTAGGGTTTTTGTCTGAATTTTGAGGCGATAATAAGGTAAGCTGATACCAGAATGCCGCCTGATAACAGCGAATGAATGCCGCCTGATAACAGCGAATGAATGGCGCCTGTTAACAGCGAATGAATGGCCGCCGAAAAGAAGACTCCAAATGACTAGAGTGTCCATACTCCATTCAAAAGATTCCATGAAACCGTCACCATTTAAAGGATTCGAATAGATTCTGACAAATGTTTAAGGTTCAAATTGAAATGAACGGACAGCGCATCCAAGTGGGCCTAATGTTTTTTTTTATATTTTCATTTGAATATTTTTACACTTTTCGATAACTTAATTATTTTTAAATAATTAAATTTAATAAATAATTATTCAAATTTCAATTTTATAATCGAATAAATAAATTACTTTCGAGTTTGGAATATTGAAGAACGCCTTAAAATAAGATAATCAATTCAGTACTGAATGTGCTTTTCTTACGTTATTGTTTCCATTTGTAATTGCATTTAAATTATTTATATCTTTTTAGTTTTTTATTATTTGTTAATTTGAGTAATAAAATTATTAGATTTATTGTTTTTTATTATAATTACGAGTTTTCCGAACCCTTTTGACACCTCGTTCCTATAGAGTTCGACAGCTAATAGCGATTCGGAGTTTTGAGCGCGAAAAATGAAACGGCTTTGGCACGTAGAGGTGTGAGCCCGACCGCACTCGCACGGCACGTCATTCAAGGTCAGAGTCGTGCTTGCATGGATTCAGACATAGGTAGAGTTATTTAGTGAAAATATACATCCTTAGCTTTAAATAAACTTAAACATAATTTGTGACGGTTTTAGTAATATTTATTAAGTGGATATGTTATTTAATATAAATTTTTCATAGATATAAATTTTTTTAAGGTAACACTTTAAATAAATGAACTACTATATAATGAAATTCAGATTTTAAGATAACAAGTGTCTCCTAAACAAAGGCTACATCCACTAGAGATAATTATACAAAATGTGATTAATTACAAATTACTTTTTTATAATAATTGATATTTAATCTATTAATGGATTAATCTAAATAAAATACTATGGAGACCCATATAAAGTAACTCTCTTAATCCAATTTACATCATAAGCAGCATCATGATTTAAACTCTTGACATTGCTTAGTGTCTCATCCAGGGGCGAAGCTATTAGAAAATATATGGGTAAATTCTTAGTTAGAGTTCTAATTTTTTATTTAATTATATTTTTCCTCCTATTTTTTGTTTAATTACTTGATCCATCCATAGTCTCATCACACTAGACCAAGTAATTGTTGGTCACAGTAATATTATAATTTTTAATAATGATTATATAATATTCAATTGCAAAACTTGTAATAGTATATAATTTGATCATTATTACGTTTGGTTTATAAGATTCAAAATTATTTAAAAAATAATATCACGGTGATCAAATTATTAAAACAAATAATAAATACTCTATATGTCTTATTAAATTTGTCTTTTATAGATTTTTCGGGTCTAATTTTTTAATTTTGACTTATTATTATTTAAAATTTATTATAGATAAAATATAAAAATATTTTTTTAAAACTACAAACCAAGTAAATTTTAAATATATATTTTATAAAATTTAATTGTATAAAATATTTAAAATAATTATTATCAAAGTATAAAAATTTGCCTTTTAATAAAACTAACAAGAGATTTTTTGTGGGACGTAAGCAGTACTAGATTTGATCCAAAATTAATGCGAATTAGAACATTAAGCGCTGATTGGGCCATTGCCCTCGTCCCCTATCAAGGCGATTGTTGGGACATCGACCCAACTGCATATCTCTCGCACGTCCCATGCTCATCTGCTACAACAACGAAGCTTTGAAGGTACAGATGATTCGAGTTTTAGAATTTAGCGTTTGAATTTTAGGGTCTAAAAATATAACTCATGCATCCCTTATTAACTACTAATTAATTACATTAAAAGAAAGCAGCCATACAATAGAAGATTTTGATGAACAAATTTTCTGAGTTTTAAAAGAGGAAGAATAACCCATCAGCCAATGGAATAGCCATTCTGAGGGTTTAAAAAAAAGAAACATCAAGTTTGAATTGAGTGACCCGCGCCCGGACTATGCCAGGTGCGTTGGTCGAAAATCATCGATATTCTTGCTTTGCTGCTTCGCTCTTGACCCGAACCAATGCTATGAGTTTCATTCTCTGCTACCTTAATACTAGTGCTCCTCGCATTTCTTGCACGATGGCTTGCTCCTTAAATGTCTGCCTTCAACAAATATCTCTTGACAGATAATCAAACAAGGAAGATATACAAGCATTTTTTACCCCAATTCTTGCCATTTTTATGCAAAGAAAGCAAAACCCTTAGAGACTTACGAGCAAGTGGTTAAGGGATCTTAGTGAGAACTGTGGTATTTAAAGCCTTTTTCTGGGGCAAGTTGCATATTGTATTGAAAATTGTGAGAGACAATGGCCATGTGCATGAGACCTTCCACTTCCACACCAGTTGGAGGGTACTGCCACAGATATAAATATAAATTAAGAGAATGTACATTGGGCAGCTTATATTAATGTTTAGTCCAAACTCTCATGAACAGGAAATATTTTAATACACATCTCAAACATGGCATGTTGTTTATATTCTTCTTGCCTCCATTCTCCAATTGGACTGCATATATTAATGTTTAGCCCAAGCTCTCATGAACAGGAGAGACTGATGCTACTCGGC